TTCCTTCTTCTTACAACCACACAAGTCTTGGTCCCTCTGTATTACTACACAACTCCATACCTTCATTATCAGCAGCAATGAACACTTTACTCATCGCGTTAGCGACTATAGGACAAGTAGCCGCGGGTCGGCTCCTCGTCGCATCATATGGAAATGACACTTCTCCTGGCGCTATCCAGACTCTCGAACTACCACCTAGCACAAATGAAAACACTAGCCAAACGATGAAGGTTACTCATGAGAGCTATGAGTGTGGGAAGTTACCCACATGGCTCGATGCTTCCCTTGGTCGTGAAAGGATAGTGTGTCTAGACGAAGTAGAAATTGGTGCCAACCTTACAATGTTGAGCGTTGGTGCTGATGGCAGCCTCAGCAAGATTTCGAGCAGCCCGGTTTTGGGAGGAGCGGTGTCTTCGATATCCTACAACAACGGAACGGCGCTTGCCCTTGCCCATGTACGTACAACCCTCTCTTTCTAATCCTTGATGAACATGTACTAACAATCCAAATAGTATGGCCCCCAGGCAGCAATCTCACTCTTCACCATCGACGGAAGCAACAAGTTCTCATCCCTACAGAACTTCACCTTCGAGAAGCCTGAACAGATCCACCAGGCTGTCCTCGACCCCACAGGCCAATTCATGATCTTCCCTAGTCTCGGTGCCAATCTAGTCCACGTATATTGTATCGATCCCGCAAGCCACCAGCTCACCGAACACGAGCCACTCAAATCAAAGCCGGAATACGGTCCTCGGCATGCAGTTTTCTGGACAAGCCCCGATTCTAAGACCACATACCTCTTTGTCGTCCACGAGAAAAGCAACAAGATCATCAGCTACAAAGTAGACTACCCTGAGTGCGGCGGCCTGGAATTCACCGAGGTCGACGAGGTCAGCACATATGGCAACACTACGCTCCCGCCAGTGTCATATGCCTCGGAGATGATATTGTCACCCGACAACAAGTTCCTCGTTGCGGCGAATCGTAACGGCACGGTGTTCGGAGTAGAAAATCCCGACCCAAAGAACAGCACCCAGGTTCCAAGTGACTCACTTGCAACATTCAAGCCGACAGCGGACGGAAGGTTGTCGTTTGTCCAACTCGCCAAATCAGGCGGATACTACCCTCGCCACTTCAACATGAATAAGGACGGATCCATGATTGCGATTGCGAACCAATTTAGCAAGAACGTTGCTGTCTATAGCCGAAATCTAGAAACGGGAAGGATCGAAGACAGCAAACCGGTGGCTACGGCTGAGGTCCTTGGGTCCGGCGGTTTGATGTTTGTGCAGTGGTTGGAGCAGCAGTAGGTTATGTGTGAAGTCTATTAACAGACGACTCATGCGCACGGTTCTGATGATGTATCCCAGAAGGTTGGAATGATGTCTTATTATGAGACACTCCAAGAGCATCATCGTATCTGCAATGACAATACATGTACATAATTCAATATCACGGAGCATCTGCTGAAGATGCCCACTTTTCCTGCGCGACAGCCCACGCTACAGCGTCCCAAACATCGCTCACGACCTTGCGCGGCTCAGGCGACGGTGTTGTACCCTTCTTGTAGACACCTGTTTCCACTAACACACTAGCCCAATCTGTACCATGCGGACTCTGGTAGTTGTTACCGCCAGCAATGTCACTGGCGGGATTGTCACCGACCATGTACACGCGCTTCAGATGACCCAGCGGACTACCATAGTTTTGCATCAAATGATGCCGATGCGCTATCAGACGCTTCTCAGCGAACTCGTACGTAGGTCGGTGTGGTTTGCCCATTACGACTTTCTGCAGCTTAACACCTTGTGTCTGTCCGCCAGTTATCGCAGCCCAGATACCCTCGAAAGCTTCGCGAAAGCCGCCCTGACCGAGACGTGGCAGGTGATATTTTGCCGCCCATAGCAGGTCTGGGTTTGAGAAGTATAGTGGGGGCTGTCCATCTTGTTGGTAGCCACGATTCTCCAGAGCTGGATTGCCGTTCTTCTGTGACAAAGTTCCAACGATGCCATGCTCTGATAACAAGACATCCTTGATGATCTGCGCGTCCAACCCCCAGTCTCGAGGATCGTTGTATACAAAGACTGCATCGATGCGGAGCGATCTAGATGGCGAGTCAACGTCGATAGGGACGGGTAGCGGTCGAGTAAAGGTCTTGTAGTAGGACAGTAGTTGCTGCGAGAATGGCCATACATCCGGGTGAGCAACCATGATATCGCCAGGTATAACTACATTCTTGAAACTATGCAATCTGTTAGAATGCTGCAGCCCCATGTAATGTCGTTCCGTCATACCCGTATGCCTCAGCGACCTTCCTGCAATTATCCTCCACACCACCCACCACCATGACCGTCTTGTCCTTGAGGTCGTCCATGTCGGCGAAGGGGGTATGGCTTTGAACGAACATGGATGCATCGATAGACACGTCCAGTTTACTGCTCAACTCGGCCACGCGGTCGGATTCATGTTTGCCGCCGCCATTGGTAAGAAGTATGAAGGGAATGCCCTGTGACTGCAGGTAAGAGAGGGCCTTTTGAGCTCGCGGCAGCGGATCTGAACTTCTTAGGAGCACTCCATCGATACTGACAGCCGTCAGCTGCTGTGTTGAGAAGCTGATGGTGCGCAGGCCTTACTCGAAAGCGAAAGCAAACTCCGGGGCACGGACCGAGGGAGCAGCGGCCGTCTGGAATGCGCGGCGTAAAGGCAGGCCGTAAGCGCAGCGAGCAAGTAGCCTTCTCGCGTACATCGCCATTGGTGGACTGCGGATTGCTCGTGATAATGTGATGTCTTGGAAGGTTACCTACCCTGCAGCAGCATGCCCGTCGGGAAATTATTAGTCATCATCGCGTTACCCACCGTTGCGTCACAACGATCTCAATACCATCATGATACTACACATGAGCCCTGAGCTTCGCATATATTCTATAATTTGGATACCAAGTACCAAATAGTTGGTTCGGAACTCAGTGGCAGCTTGCCCGATCCTCATAGCCGACTCCTCTGCGCGCAGGCACGCTGACGTCTACTGAATGGCAGCGTATACAACTCGGAGCAAACCATCACTCTACCATTCGCTCGATCGACAATGTTACCGCCAATCTTCTCGATTCGGAAGTCATGCATATGTAAGGATTCCGCTTGCCGTCCGGAAGCACCGGAGACATATGACCTTGAGTGCTCGTACACCGGTACCTTTGCATAGCTCATTGAGTCTCTAAATCACGTTTATTAGCCACCTCATCACGCTGCTTCTCTTTGAAGACCTTAGATACCCATTAGCTCCTTGACCGAGAGAACATTTTTGACGGTATGCCTGTGTTCGCTCATTCATGGCAACGGGCGAACCTTCAGCAGTGAATATTTCCCACGTGGAAACTCACTTGCTCCTTCCCAACTGACATGACTTGCAACATGCAGGGACTTTCCTACTGAGGAAAATGTACATTGCCATACCAACCAATGTGATGTTTAGATCGACCGACTAGCTGTTGAGGTCGTAAATCGGGCCCACTCTACTGGACACAATAGTCGGCGACTCAGATCACCCCTTGCTTAGAATTCGGCACAGAACCTTGTCGAGACTTTTCTCTGCCGCTTGAATCTCCTTTGTTCTCATTCTTTACAGGTGCAATGGCTTTGGAACAATAGTAAGCAAAGTCACGTGGTATGACATACCATGTCCGAGAACAATAGCAAGCTAACATCGAGGGCCTTACCCTTGTCGGGACCATGCTCTGGACCTTTTGACAACAACAGCCACAAAGGAAGCTTCGTCCTTTCCCATATACTCTTTTCCGTTGTATAAAACGGTGCTCATGGTCCCTAAATTTATTGTTCTTCCAGCCAACAGAACACTATCTACCTACAATTTCAAGCTCTCTACATATCCTTCAATTACCTCAACCCACCCAAGCCAACTCAACTGTCAGCATGGCCCTTCATCGTGGCGTCAAAGGCGGCTGCACCGTCCAACGCATTGCCAAAGGCGGCACCAAAGGCGGCTGCACCATCCAACGCAATGCCAAAGGCGGCGTCAACGGCTGCACCGTCCAACTTGGCGGCGTCAGTGGCGGCTGTACCGTCCAATAGATCACTCTCCTCTCTTCCTCCCTCTCTCTCGACAGAGACTCGACAGAGAGACACTGCCTGTACTTGCATCACACCCAACGACTACAGATTGATGCCGTTTCAGCTCATCACCGCTTTCACTTCGATCATCCCTTTTTACACGATAACAAGAGGATTTGTCTAAGTACTTACGCCAATCGACAAGTACGCGGATACAACTCGCCTCAAAGCCTTGCTATAATGCCGATAAAAAAACATGCGAGAATCTTCCGACATGGCCGATCGACCACAACAACATATGCGGCGATGGGATTGGAGTCTTGTTCTGCTTACGGCGTGGCATCTTCTTTCCTTATAAATTATGTATCTAGTATCTAATGCGTACGCCAGGTTGAGTTCTTGGGGGATGGTTTCTGACTTTGGTCTTTGTATTGAGGGCAGCGATCGTTCAGAGGGAGCTTAATGATATGTACATACTCGTTCGCCTTATACATCTTCTATCTGTAAGCACTTGCGACAACTGCGTGTCTCAATGTGTCAGCGTGATCTTTACCGCTGTGTTTGCTTTCGAACGGTATGATATAATCTCACCGACATGGCGATGGAGAGGCGTTTGTGTATCACAGATATGGACATCTCTCCACTGATTTAGATATTACCAACAGGAGGAGCTTTACAACACGACCACTGGGTAGCGGCGAAAATGTGAACAAAGCATTGACACATCACGCCGCAATAGTTACTATTCGCATGGAACCATCGTTCTATTGTTCACGTTAAAAACCGGAGAGGACTACCTGTACATACACATCTGAAGTCACTGGGAAACAGCCCAACAAGCCTGTTCAAGTCAGATAGCCCTTCGCGAAAATCTGCCGCATGATGTGGGTTGAAACAAAGCTACGATACAACAGAGTTTAATGACACGTTCATCACCTTCCTCGTAGGCTCCGTACCGAAGGTTTGTGTGAAACATGGTCTTTCACTGCAGTCGTGGCGCCCTTTGCAAGAGGCTCTCGTGAGACAGGGCTGGTGTAAGGCGATTTCTTAGAAGCGCTGCGTAAAGATGCAGGGGTTATGTTTGGTGAAGCATTATCCTCTGAATCCAGTACCTCAGTGCTCGTTTCTCGATTTGGCGTGCTCGGTCGTTGGGAGCGAAGTGCCTTTCTGCTTGACAGTGGTCGAGTAGGCTTCTTGACCTTCTTCAGTGCACCAGGCCTAGTAACCTTCCTTTGAAAGCTGACGGTTGTGTGTCGGGTAGATTTGACGGTAAATGGCTTTGCCGTCCGGAGATTAGCTGATCTCGTACGTTTATCAAGAGTTCCGGAACTTGATCGCTTTAAAGCGCGGTTTTCGCGGGATGCATTCTGACGCGACAGCGCATCTGCTTCCCTCTCGACTCGCTCACGAGCAGACTCCAATCGAGCGACAGCATTTTTCGCCTTGGCGCTAGCTGAGTTGCCTGCAAGCATCCTGCGCTTCTTGGGGGAGCTTTGGGTGCTTTCAGAACCATGCCTTCGAGGACCGAGCAAATCCTGCAGCTTGCGTTTCGTGCCTGTGATGAGCACTGAGGCTATTGACTTCTCTTCAATGGGTTTCTTTGGCTTGGGACCGAGGACCCCACGGCATGATTCAGTACCACAGCGGCATTCCTGAATGTTCTTTTGGGAAAACGGACTAACGAAGTCAGAACGGTTCAACATATATGTTATGGGACATGACTTACTCAAAATTGTAATCGTAGGTCAGCTCATCGCCAGTCATGATGCCGCGGGGACCGGCGAACAGCGCCATCCGAGGCTCTCCACCCACAGTCCACTTGATCATCTCGCAGTTGGGTTCACACGAGTGATTAACGAATCGAGCAATAGTCCCACGAGTCGCATCAATGATCATTTTGTTGTCGAAGCTCATGAGATAATAGCACTGCAGAGGATTAGCAGAAATCTGTATGGCAAGACCTTGACAACGTACCTTGTCTTTCTTGTAGACCTGTTTCATGCGTCGCTCGCATTCAGACTGGGTAATGATCTCTCCAGCATATTCTACGATGATCTGGTGTGGCTCGAACGTTCGCATAGCACGAACACCGAACCCTCGGTCTTTTGTATCGAGAACTTCCACACCATAGTCATAACGGTTGCCTTTTGCACGCTTCTTGAGCTCTGCGAATGGCCGATTGTTACATAGTTCCGGAGGCAGTGGACAGTTGGTTTTGTCACATTCATACGCCATGATCCGATTGTGACAGGACTCTCCACAGCCATCTTCTTCATCGCAATAGCATTGGGAGGAGTCTTGCTTGTCGCGTTTCCACAGCGCAGATGCGTCGCCGATGAACCTGTCTGCAAGTCGTTAGCATTGTTGACTGAGTGGGATCATAGTAAGCTTACTTTTGTTGAGTTTGACCCAGCCGTCGACCTTAACCTTTCTGGGTAGAGGGCTGTAAGTATCGAATGGCAATTTGAAATCCCGGAATACATGTTTGGGGTCCTCGTTCAATAGACGTTCGCAGGCAAAAATCGGGAGGGGCAAGATTGTGGCCTGCCATGGTTTCTTGGCCCTCTTCTTTGCGCGGTTCTGGCTTTCGGAGAGACGAGGATCAAAGTCGCGATCCTGGCCAACATACAAACCTTGCTTAAGCCAGACTTTCGACTTGGGCTGCGAGAAGATCTTTCCTTCCTGGTCTTGGCTATCTGCGTCTCCATCCTCAAGGGCATCGCGAGACCGCTTGAGAGAAGCCGCGGGGGAAGCTGATTGGCCGGATTTGAAGGATGGCTCCGAAGTACTGCGCCGTAAAGTGCTTTTAACGAAAGCCTTTCCCCCTGAGTACATGCTTGCGACGGTATCGCCGACACCGCTTTTGCGGAGGACCTCCTTGCGAAGGTCCGTCACGCGAGAGGAGGTGCGACGTCGTGCTGCCTGGGCGGCTTCGGCAGCCAGCTGATCCTCGACCTGATCGCTGGCATCAGTCATGTCAGACTTCCGCTTCAGCATCTTCTTTCGCATGGGTGTGGCTTTCTCCTTCCTCGCGAGCTCCTCAAGAGAGCCGTGCACGACATTCTTGTGGTGCTTCTCAAGGTATTTGGTCGGCGTATGAATCGCAGTTCCGGCGAGAATCTGCACGTTGTACGTGGTGACGGACTTGCGCGAGCTCCTAGCAGGGCGGCGGGCCTCGTTGTTGACGGCGTCGGGCGTGGTGGTTTGCGCGGACGCTGAGGTCTCGCCGAGCATTTGGAGGCCCGGAGCCTCCTCGTACACTTCGACAGCTTGTTCGATCTTCGTCATCTCGGACATGACGCTGGCTTCGTCGCCGAGGCTGGTAGGTGGCGTCGAGATGGAAGGCGACGCGCTGGACGTGGCGCGAGCATCGCCCTGCTTGTCAGTTCGCACCGTGATGTTCGAGAGCGTAGAGGATGTTGAAGTTGGGGATAGATCGCGCTCGGCCATGACAGCGGACGGGCAAGGCAGGAGCACGCGTCGTGGTCGTGGTCTTGAGGGGTGAGGCACTGACGCGCGAAGGAGGTGGACGCTTTGGGCGGGTCAACGGCGCTCACGAAGCAACACTGCCAAAGTCTGCGCGCGATAGGCAAAGAGCAAGCGAAGAAACGTGTACAATTGTCGGTCCGGTTTAGGAGAGTGTGTGGGCATGCATTGGGAGGCGCATCGAGCCAGGGTTGGGAGATAGATGGACGGATGGACGATTTGGGGAGGTAAACACATGCAGCTAGTCAGTCAGCCGATTAGGCCGTCGTGCCCTGTATATCCAATGTTACCAGCACCACCACTCCTCGCATTCCGTCTTATTACCGGCACGTACGGGCCGGGTCTTCGAAACCGAGCCCGCTGCAATGTTATCATGGAATGTACACATAATCAAGGAAGTCACTCATCAGTGCATGCAAACGGTCATATGGTGCCGTGCCTGCACTCGTGTATTGTGAAGAAGCTATTACTTAAGATGGGCTAACCACATGATCACGCTGATCAGAAACAGCGTCTCATGCCACAGTCGCGTCTGCAGCGTCACGTCCTGACCTACTGGCTGGGCCCTGGAATGCCCCAGACCCACTAACATCCTGCATCTCCACCCCGCCGCCCTGTTGCTCTGGCACTAGAGGCGCAGTCCGTTTGTCTTTGCGCGAGCCAAACCTTTGGTCGCCCTCCTCGTACTTTCTCTTGAAATGGAGATAGGTCGGTGGGCGTGGTCGCTGTAATACAGCAACCCAGTTTTTCAACGCGGAGCCCTGCGTGAAGGGCCTATGCCGATCCTTTTTGAGGAACTTGTGTGAGTTCAAATATTCACGCGTCGTTTCGCCCCTACCAACCAGGAACAGATGGTATATGCCAAGACTGAAGGGATATGACCACCCGAGGAGTCCGTATATACACATGGCAAAGGGTACACGCCATCGATCGATGGCCTCGCCAAAGGATGCTCCAGTTTGCGCCCGCCAGACTAGTATTTGTGCCAGACTAGCGCCCAGGAGGAAAAGACCTAGCAACGTGGTGGCGCACACGAAGACAAAGAAGTAACGGTAGTTGCGGCGTCCCACGCAATTGTTGAGCCAGACGCAATGGTGATCTTGCGTCTCGATGCAATTGTCACATACACGGCAATGGTGAGCACGTGGAGGTCGCCAGATGTTGCAACTCTTGCAATATTTCGTCGGCACCTCCATAGCTGCATTCGTACCGGTTGCGGAGACCACCATGGTCCACTCAGTGGTGGGCGGACCGAGACTGAGGGGATCGTCATTAGGATTAGGAGGGGGGAATGGATGTAGATTTCGGGGAAGTATCTATACGGCGTTAGTAGTGTTCATGACAAAGGAGGTGCATGACATACGCCCGGATCTGAAGCTGAAGCATGAAGGAAAGAGGAGATGGAGACGAGAAGCAAATATGCAAAGAGGATGGGTATCGATGGAGAAACGTTGGTCCATAGCCAAGGGGCCCTATAGTAATAGTTAGCGTGAGGAACAATAGCAGTGGAGGGGAGTCCACGAACGAGAAGCCGAAAAAAAGGCCAGCAGGTAAGATGATGAGGATTGCCGTGGCGACGTTGACTGGACGGTCGCGGGTATTTTGCAATCTACCGCCCCAGCAAAACGCGGTATTGCCAGAGAAGTACTGGTAGTTCCTGCCGAGCTCCCGCTTGACTGCCTCCTTAGTAGCTTCTTTGCGGGCTATTCTGGGTGACGACTCGGCAGAGGTGAGTTTCTCGTGTCCTTGATGGGGTCGTATTTGGGCTGAGCGTCCGTCGCGACTGGACAACATGAAGCTGGAACCGAAAGAGCGGGGCGATTTGCTGGGCGTTGGGAGCTTGCCGGAATCGTGGCCATGAACATTAGAGAGATCCAGGTGCTGAGGCCTGGGTCGCTGCAGGGGAGTGATGCTCTCGCCTCGACTGCGCACTGTTTCTGCGCCCGTGGGCGTGGTGTTGGCTGTGGTGCGGTCGGGCATGTCTCTATCGGTGATGTCGGTGCCGCGCGACGGCGGAGGCTGCGGGTCCAGCTCGTGATGGAGGCCCAGGGTTGGGGCGCCGTGCCGAATTGTTTGCGTAGAGCCTGTACTCTGGCGGTACGGATTGCTGCCCGTTTCGTGTGTAGCGTCGGAATAGAGCGAGCCGTGGCCGAGGAGGGAATTGGGGCGCTGGTTGCGTTGTTGTTGAAGACGCTGCGAGCTCATGGGGCGAAAGAAGCCGTGGGCTGCCAGCGGAACATGGGTTCTACTGGCAGACGTCGTTGGGCGGCTGTGTCCTAGACTGCCGGCGACGCTCATGCCGCCTCCTCGTCGTGCAGGGCTGGCCTGGGACCATCTGTTCTGGCTGCCCGAATTGGCAGTCGCAATCGACGACGGTCGCGAGGGTGGCAGGCCGGGCTCGCCTGCTGGGCCCGTCATGCCCAACACGCGACTGCCAGTCGAGCTGCGCTTCTGTTCGGACGGCGTCATGGCCATGGTGATGTGGTTGCGGGCGCGATTACACTCTCGGCACGCAGCATGACATCAAAGAGCTGAGGGTGTGGCTGGAGGGAAGTCACGGCTTGTGCAGCGCGTGGTCGCGACGAATACGGGGAGCGCGGATGGGCGAGGATGGCGACCGGCAGGGGAAGGAGCGACTGGAAGTGAGTGAATGGAAGGGCTGCGGCGCCGAAAGGCTAATGGAACGATGGACAAGACGTGTGATTGCGCTGAAAGGGGCGCATAAAGTTGATGCTCGACCCTTCGACGTTGCCCGGCGCACTGCAAGGTCCGCCTGACTGTTTCCGGCATGGCCGTCGCTGTGACGCAGCCGCCAAGCTTGGCGTCCGCGAGATTCAACATCGAACCACTGCTCCGCGCTGCACGCATCCCATAGCTCGCATCCCGTCCACGCCACTCACCCCCCATCATGTCCTCCATCATTGCCCGCTCCGCCTTCCGCGCCGCCCCACGTGTCCGTCCTACGCCTGCTCTTCGACGATGGGCCAGCGCCGCCGCTGAGGGCGAGAGACAGGCCGGCAAGGACGCCCTCAAGACCGGAGCGAAGCGCGACCCTGAGCTCTATGTACGCTGCGACACGTCAATTGGACAATACAGGGCGCATAGCTGATTCGTCTACAGGTTCTGTTCGCTATCATGAGCGGTGTTTTCGGTCTGGCAGGATGGCACTTCTGTATGTTCCCGGATACATTGATTCTGCCTCGTGCGCCCGTCTTCACATGCTGACAATTGCAAGCCCGCTCTCCTACCAGTGCCTCTTCGGAACGAGCCGTCGCCAAGGCCGCAGGCAGTGAGCCTTGGAAGCAGGATGGTGGTGTAGGCCCATACCAGTACCACCCCGGAGGTGACACCAGCGTCAAGAAGGATGCGCCTTCTGCGCTTAACGTGGTCGTCATTCCCAACGTCACTCTCCCCAAGGTAAGCTGACGCCCTTGATTACCAGCAATCAGACTGTATTGACGAGCGTAGGAACTCCATGACACATACAACAAGTGGGGCAAGGACGGCTACTAGACACGCAAACTGACATCAACTACCCAATTTCCAATCAAAACCTCATGGCAGCAGAGTGCGCGATTTTTCCTTCAGTTATGCGTCTGTACATAAGACCTAGTGCGCAGATCAAACAAGTTCTCTACAATGTCTTCACACAGATTGGTGCCGCACAGTTCTGGTCTGCCTAACAACGCGACAGCAATATCAATGCGGACTTGAATGATAAGAAACCCCTCAAGCACCATGGTGATTTCCGGTAGACTTTTTGTATACATACACGTCCGACTCAAGTAATGCTAGGGAAACCGCTATTCATCCGACTGGAAAGATCAACGTCGTGTCCGTCCTAGGTCGAGGTATACATGCTTTTGTTCTTCTAGCCTCTCTCCAAATTTAGTCCTTGCGAATGGCACTGTGAACCCCGGGTAGGGGAGCTTGTAGAATGTAGTCTATGGGTATCTATAAGTGCACTGTCAGTCTGGAAGTCCGCCCGCCAACTGCAATCAAGCTGCGCTTGGTAGTCGCTTCCGAATCTCGGCAATCATATCAGTCCTGTTCACCAGTACACCGTCTTTCTCGGGGTCGTTGTCGTCTTTGATTCCCAGGACCTTAATCTTGACCTTGCCGTCTTTGAGCTCATCCTCACCAAGGATGACGAGGAGCGGGACACCAGCCACCTCAGCTTGTTTGAATTGCTGAGGAAGTTTCGGCTTCAGTTTGTACGAGAACTCAGCCTTGATGCCTGCAGCCCATAGCTCTTGAGCGACTTGCATACGTTCTGTCAACAGGCCGGTGAAGCCTTTACCACCAAAGGCTGCGACGAAGGCATCGACATCTTTGGCACGCTGTGTCGACTGGCCGCGGGCTTTCATGATGCTAATGATTCGGTCGATGCCGAAAGATATGCCAACGCAGGGAATAGGCTTGCCACTGAACATGCCCACGAGCCCGTCGTAACGACCACCGGCGGCGACACTTCCTACGCCGATTTCTTGCTGCTGACCTTTTACGCGCGGTGCTGAGCCTTCTGTAATTACCTCGTAGATGAGCCCAGTGTAGTAGTCTAGACCTCTGGCGAGTGAGAGGTCGAAAGAGATCCTCTTGCGGGCACCAAAAGCATCGAGGTATGAGAAGAGCTGTTCCATCTCCCGAACACCCTGGCTGACATCTTCCGATTGAGAAAGGGTCTCGTTTGTCTTGAGATAGTCGATGATGTCGTCGCCGCCTTTGCGCTGCACCCATTCACCAATCTTATCCGCGATGTCTGCTGGCAGTCCCTTGGTCTCCATTTCTTGCTTGACCTCTGACCATGGTAGCTGCAGCATGTTAGTAATTGGCAGAGACATGGAGATGTTCAGCTCACCTTGTCTAGTTTGTCCACAGCAGAGCTGATCGGCCTTATCAGTTCTGCCTTGACGCCAGCAGCCTTGAACATGCCGTCTAGAATCTTCCTGTGATTTATCTTGATCGTGTACGAGTCCCACTTGAGCGCATCGAAGACGTCGGTCGCAATCTTGAGTACCTCGGCATCTGGAATCATGGCGTCGTAGGAACCCGCGATATCGAAGTCGCATTGGTAAAACTCTCGCATGCGACCCTTGGTCATGGCTGGTTGGTCGCGGCGGTACACCTTAGCGATTTGGTATCTCTTGAAACTCTGGACGCTAGGGTTCATGGCGAGCCATCGTGCAAGTGGGACGGTGAGATCGTAGCGCAGTGAGCAGAGCTCGCCGCCTTGATCCTGCAGATCGTATATCAACTTTGAGTCTTCTCCATATTTACCGCTGAGGATCTCTTTGAGTTCGAAGACGGGCGTGTCGAGTGTCGTAGCGCCGTGGCGCTTGAAAACTTCCGTTACTGTTTGGAACAGGTTGTCGCGAAGTGCGGCATCCTCGCCAGTCCCTGACATAGTTAGCGAGTCGTTTGGGCGCAATGTGGGCAAAATGTACAGTCGCGTGTGCCCTTTGGCACCTTCAGGTTGAACGATTTGTTCTTGTCTTCTTTGCCCATGTCGTCGTCGAAGCCCAAGGGCGAAGTTTGCGTAGAGAAGCGGCGGCGGGGTGCAAGAATGTAGGTTCGGATAGATGTTCGGCTGACTTTACGGTATGCGAAGGTATATCGGAGGGCGTCTTGGAAGAGCGCGGGGCAGACAAAGTGGGGTGAAATGCGCTGCATGGACCTGGAAAGTGACTCAATCGCCCAAGAGCAAGCGCGCATGTGCAAAGAATCGTTCTACTCCGCGACTTGGCCCGTGCATCTTCACACCGACGTCACAGCGGGCGGTAGCCAAAATGTAGTCACAGGATTACAACGAATAAATTGATGCATGGGTTTCTAGTCATCGCGCTGTGGGCAACTACCAGAGCAGTCGAAATTTCAGCAGATCTCTTTGTCCATAGCACTCGGCTACAACTGTCAGAATCATGTCGATGGCTGCCTTCGTGTTCCAGTCACTCTCGGACAATGGGGTAATGGACTGCGGTTTGGCCTGCGTCGGCTCGAAAACTGGCGCCAATTTGGTGGCACTCGCAGTTTGCTGCAGCTCTCCTCGGCGTATTTCTTGTCGCTGCCTCTCAGCCTCGACCCTTGAAAGGTGATGATGGACTTGCATTGGGGGCATATGAGGCAGAGGCACTTGTGAATGTACCAAGCGGTCTCCGAGTTGCGCAAGAAGACGCGCTCGAGCTTCCTCAAGACCTCCATCTTCCGGAATGCTTTCTGATTCAACTTCATCCTCAGACATGATCATCTCTGCGTCAGAATCATCCGTCTCTTCAATGACTGTGTTTTGGCTGAGCACGGCATCGTCATTTCTGAAGGACGTCGTGTCTAATCCATTGTCTTTCTCATTCGAAACATCGCGCAGAGTTTGTGTGACTTTCGGCGCAAGATGTCTCGTGTCGTGAGCTCCATGTGTCTGTTCTCCAGGATCGGTCTCTGGGACCTCGGGACTAGTGCACTCGCCCTCTTGTGCATCACACGTCAATGTTCTGTTGTCTGCGTAGAGTCGGCCCACTAGCCGGCCTGCGCTGAGCCCCAAGTCTCGGATCCTGCTCACACGCTCATGATCCAAAGTACCGAAATCTCCAACTAGGGCCAACAAGGTCCATATCCAGCTGCTCTTCTCCCGGGATATCTTAGCTGATCGACCCAAGGCTAACGTGCAGCCTTGTAGAGCCATATACAGCGTCGACTCGTCAATGTGCATGATTTCTTGGAGAATGGGTAAGTCCTTCTCTATAGTTTCCGACCATTTCTGCTTTCCAAACTTCTCTACTTTTGCGCGGCTCGCTGCTGTGTCTGGTAGTCGTCCATACCTCCGCATTTCGGCGAGTTTCTTGCGAAGGTTTCGAAAGCGCTGGAGGAGAGCATTGGTGCAAGCTTCCTGTGGATCAAGGGCGAACGAGTCTGTTTCCCACTTGGTAGCGTTGTACTCCCAATCCACGGCGATCCAGGTTCCTTCCCTGTATATGACGCGTTGAGTATCCATCGGGCTTTTGTGTTGCGATTCGTCATGGTCTGAGTCGAGTTTGCCAGCGTTGACGTTGTTTGGGGCTACGAGTAGAGTGGGAATCGCCGATGCTTCAGACCTAGGCCTCATGTATAAGCGATGCACTTGATAATGCTCTCATGTGAGGGGAGTGCAAAAGATGAAGTAAGCACTCACCGGACACCGTGAAGGTAGGCCAACGCTTCGCTTGTGGTCTCGTCGGATGACTGCTCTTCACCGTCGAGTCCTGGTAGCACCGTCCGTGTCCCATACTCCTGGTACGAATCTACAGCGCGCGGCCGGTTTTTTGGGTGCGCTGTGATGCGCGCGATCCTCGCGCGCTTAATACCAGCGGCCTCTTCTTGTGCGCACTTTCTTTTGCTGCCGTAGGCGGTCGGGGACGCTGTCGAGGATATGGAGGGCGGCTGCGTCGACATAAGGTAACCATCGGGCCGTTGTAGTTTGTTGTAGCTCTCACCGTCTTTAGTAACGGCCAAATTTACCCCCACGGTTGACATGTTTGCGTTGGAGGTTGTAGAGTCCTGGCTCCGGTTGATGAGTGATTGCGGAGACGCGCTCGGGGGTGACCTACATCGGTCTAGCGTGGCTCACGCTGGCACCACACATGTATGCGGGCCGGCACAATCAATCTCAGGAATCTTGAAATGCGGAAGGTACATATTTGAGTATCTGAAGTTGAGGTTGATAATGTGTGGTGTATTTCACTGCACTATAGTTACGTGATGTCGTGCTCCTCGTAAAGCTACTCAGCCAACAGCTCTAACATCTAGATATGATGATGAGTTCCTGCGGGCGTACGCAAAGATCCCCAAACAAAGGAATTTATAGTGGGATTAATCCCATCAACCCTTTCCATCTCCCCTTGTGGTTGAGACCCAGTAGCCTGATCGTCATTGTCCCTTCCGTTCGATGTTTTCTTCTACTGGCTGGTAGGGGTACTTGATCGTGAGACACCAGATGTCTAAATAATCGCAGATCGTCCAAATAACATCCACGATGAAGCTTCCATGCACACCGACAGCAAGACCTAGACACATGAACACAAAGGCAACCTGATAAACATCGTTGCCCAAGGCACTTGGCCAGCCGACACCAATGTGCTCCTGTAGCCATGGCCCGAGCGAATCGATCACTCCGTAGATGAGAGGGTACATCAGTACGTTGCCTCGAGGAAATCGGGATTTCGTAAGGTGAGAGATGATCATGCGACCCACCGAGTACGCGTTGATGAGACCAGCGTAGAAGATGAACGGAACCAGATGGTGATGCAAGATCATAGGTTGCAGGTACAAGTACGCCGTGATGAGGACCCAAGCCGCCCCGAAGGTAAGAAGACCCAGGAGAGCGACTCGCGCCTTTTGACCACGAGCACGACGCGCCTTCATTACATTTTGCGCGCTGTGTCATTGTCAGCCTACTGTCTCGTATAATGGCATGTGTTCATACCTCGAAACAGTGTTAAACACGAGCACAACTCCTCCATAGACCATATACCATTCGTTCCATGCCAAATTGTACAGCACTTCTGGAATGAATCCTTGCTCTTTCACTCCGAGACTTTGGATCATGGAGCGTTGCCAAAAGCTACCTCCACCAAGGTAGGCCGTTGAGGCATACACTATGCACAAGGTTATGATACCCTCGACTGGCCCAGAGATAACACCAAGAGTCAGTGTATGGGTATGATACTCATCCCAGGTCTGCACGTAGAATGTCAGAGATGCTGCAGTAGTTAGCAAGATAAGATGCAAAGCAAGTAATGTCAAGGTGCTGGCTTACATGCAAAGAGCGTGAGGATTGTCTTCCAGCCTTGGCCAAGATTCATTGTCGCAGAGAACAACAATACTTCCAGTGTCGTATTGATCGCATCGACTCCATGATCGAACAGCTCGCCTAGAGGACCGCTCTGGCGAGTCCTGCGGGCCTGACTCCCATCCACAGCATCAAATGTTTGGTAGAGGAACAGTCCGATGGCCCAGCTGGCGTACACCCAAGGCGGACAATCTTGATCAAGGGTCGGTGTATACCAGAGTAAGGTGAGGAAGTTGACTATGATGAACCCGAACCCAGAGAGTGTTATCTACAGCATCATGTAAGTAAGGACGAAGCTCTTGCGGCGGGGTTCGACATATAAAATCTTTTTTTATGCCAAACTTACAAGGTTGGGTCTAAGACATGTTAGTATTGCTTTGTATGAGATGTTGGAAATACTCACGCCATCCACATAGGAAAGCATTTGATGACCACATGAGAGTAGAAAGGCTTGAGGACATATTGTGAAAGCAAGCTGTGATCCACGCCAGAGTACTTGTACTCCCTAAGCTTTGGTAGCTTATCCTGTCGTATGTACACCATGGTGTGTTATTCGCTTAGTACTAGCAACTGTTGGCGAGTTGTTGTGGGGTTCTGGCAGCGAAAGTGATTTCGGCGGCACTTGTTGTTGCTATGTGGTGGTGTGCCAAGCGCAAAAACTTATGACGTAGCTACCCGTCCGCCCGCCGGTTTTGGCAACATCTTAGCGTGGAAACGGTATGTCAGGTACGATCGCTACCTCGGTGTGCACAACGAATGAGATGAATCATCATATTCTACGAATGTGTATCTGAGATTGATGCAGCCCCTCGCAACTTCGCACCACTTAGACGCTGGAGGCTTGATGACTCCACTAGCGATACTTGCCTCATTCTGGAACATTGTGATCGATCTTGCTCATATACATGATTCAGCAGACATGACACCCTCTCACTGTAAGCAGCGCACAGTGCCATTTACTTGGTCGTACACCAGATGAGTGGCTTGATCGGTGCAATCGAAGCTTATGCAACAGTGCTCCAGGAGCAAGGAATCAAGATCCTGCTCCTCATGGTCTGGATGAGCGGCACGGTCTTGTGCACTGTCTCGCCCCAGCCTTCCACACTCCAGCTCTGTTCACGACGGACCTTGCGTTCCTCCAGGTTGGCGAATTGCCACAGATGGTGTACTGTGTTCAGATCACCGATCTGGACGAACCAAGCACCCACACCCTCCATGACTTCCCGCCTGGCCTTCAAGCCACGTCGCCAATGTGTCTCCCACTCGAGCAAATTGCCAGGATGTAGTGTGTACGAGCGCAATTCGAACAAGCCACCGAGCTGGCGTGGGGGTGTCGTAGGCCAGAAGGAGAACTCTTGCATTAGGGAGTTGTGCTTGGATTTGATCAAGGTCTTGAGTTTGGCATCGAACGCAGGGAACTCTGGATGGGATTGGATGTTGTGTAGCGATTCGTGGTAACCCTCGTAGCGTTGGTACTCCCAGATATGTACTTTGGTGCATAGTCAGCATCGTTGAGAGAGATGCGAGCGTTGGAGCGAGTTGCAGACTTACCAAAGGTGTTGCAATCTCCCACTTCAGTCCTCCAGCTACCTACAAGATGGACCTTGTTCTCGGGAATGGACGCCATCTTTGGGTACCAGCTTCCAACCAACTCGGTGTACTCTTCGACCTTGTCTTGCAGTACCTCGTGGAATACAATGGAGTGGACGTATTTGCCGCGAGCTAAGACCTGAGAAAAGCTGCGCTCAATGTCCTTGTCGAGTTCGCGGCCCTCAGGCGTGCCGTAGATGAGAGATGATAGCGCACCGCCCTTCTTCTTGCCGTTTTCTTGCTCACGGGCGCGGGCATCTTC